ACATAGATTTTCTGCGTACCCGATTGTATATTATTATCTTCATAGGCCGTATTTAATGCAGGCAATCCCCAACGCAGGCACTATTTTGGCTTTTGTCATATGAGGAAATTTAATGCAGAAGTATATGTTCCTGAAAGTGCCAAGAGGATTAATTGCATAATTACAGCACCTGCTCCGAAATTACAATAATAATATATACGAGACGGTGACCCAGAAGGCGCAATTCAATTTTAATAGGCACAAAACTGGATATAGTATAGAGTCGGGATGTATTAGACTTGTTTAGTCTCAACTTGGGAAAATAATTCAAAGTCGCCATATTTCGTCGTGCCGGTGTGTATGGCGCAAGCGATTTGAAAGCTCATGAAAGCTTCCATATCTATTGAGTAATGTGTTAGTAAAGGGAGATGAACAAAAAAATATTGAGGTCGGAGAAACGGTCTGTGTAATGTTTTTGCAAGATATATGTTCAACAAAAGTCATCATGACCTCCAAAGGCGCAAATTGAAAAAAAATTATCGTATGGTTGACGTGATAGAACAATTTGTAAACATGCCTCGGCGGAGTTGCGATTTATATGTAAAATTTTGTGTTGCTACCGATTATACATTAAATATATATCACAGCGCTATTGATAACTGTGACGACACTAGAAACAAGCGCGCTGAATATGTGGCACACATCGAAAGTTCAGGAAAGTGCAATCAGGCGTTGACGCAAGCCAATATTATACGTAAGTCCTTATGTATTTTACCGAAGTATCATTACAAATCTTTAGTTACTTCCTTTTATTTTACATTTTACAATAATGCGCAGAAAAATTACGACTCATAGCGAAACCCGGATGTCCAGATCTCTGACAAGTATATTTTAAAGCAGTTTATATGTCCAATATTCAATAATTAATATCTAAATGGTGGAACACACAGTATATACGGCGCAAGTTAATTTAAAATAGAAATTCGTGCAACGAACGTTTTAGTAAGTACAGTGTTTTGATGCTAATCGATTCAGTAGATTCATATTCAGGAAAGCGAAAGGTCGGTTTTTTATAAAAAATCGGTGATACTGCTTACCCAATTCATTAGAATATGGTGCTTCGCTCCCGTTTTATTGTAGAGCTGCTTGCCACACGTTCGATACAGTTTATTCTTATATTACAAAGATGGCAGATATGGTATTTAAATAATCTGCAAAATATATATTTGAGTCATTTGGCCTCGATGAGCGAGGCCAGTTGACACAAAACATATATAAGTGCATAAGACGCAGTAAGAGTTGGCCTTTCATTGTCTATAACGGCTTAACCTTGTGGACCTTATAATCGCTGGTTAATTGCAGTCATATATACCCCCTATTGCTGGCTGAATCATAATACCTTTCGGGAGCGCCTTATGTTCATGCGGAGGCCATTAATGATCAGCGGCATACTATTGCGTGAAGTTCCTAAAGAAAAGCCTCATAGCACTGATTTTTTTGCCGTAACATTTTTCAGCGATCATATCATCGTAGCGACGTTTATTGCATAATATAAAGAAAACACTTTAGAACCCTACGCATTCGAGGTAATAATATATATGTTTTGCAATTCAATATAGCAAACCGTCCGAATGTTACCCCCGCGTCTTTTCTTATTATATAAATCCAGTGATTTTTATAAATGTCATGTAAACAAGAAGTATATCTACAGTAATCTGCAGGCGATCTGAATGTCGCACTTGAGCTGCATATACGTTTGCTGTACCGAACTATAGACACAAAAAACAGAGTGTAATGTCCAATGCTGACCAAATGAGATTGCTAGTAAAAAACTAGCTTTGAGTCAAGTCGGTGTTGGTTTGTGCAGTTCGAGCTGGACGAATTCACGCCTTAAATAATATGCAGTACGGAATGACTCCTAAAACAAATGGAGATGTCACAGACAACTTGAATGAGTACGATATCTAAACGTTACGAGGAATGTGTACTTCACCACATTTGATGTCGGTGACGCTGGTCATTATCTACAATTTTACCAAATTCGCGACTGTAGTTTAAGACCTGTATATCAGGAAGTAGAGTGGAGAAACAACAGCGCTACTTCGTCATAAACAAGAATACGACGCAATAAGTCTACGTTGCTCACGGATGTTCTCTACATGGCAAAATGAGCTTCTACAACTTGGCAATCTTCAGCTGTGAAAGCTAACAGTTCTAGGTCTTTGTATTACTGCCAACGCTTGCGATCAAAGATACCTTAACAAGGCACCAAGCTTATGCAGGTCAAACATAAAAAATTTGTCGACTTTAATATACGGATCTAAATCCTGCGTATTTACTAAAAGTAAGCTTTTACACTCCATTTGAGTAAAAGCTGAAACGTATATCTATTGGTGATACAACACTGATTAAAAATATATATATCCAATGCCTGGGAAACGTATCTGTGCCATAAATGTACTGAGCATTGAACCAGCTTTAGAACAAATCAAGCTAATTACTAGTTTTGACTTCTCGCTAGTTGCTCCAAACATGACCTTACTTTTACGAGCTATATCGCGAAAGACTCAACCGATCAGATGCAGCCATTGTGGGTTTTTGCACCCAATTTTTTAAAAACAAATTGTGAAGCATAATTGTAGCGTATACGAGGCTCTAAGTCTGGACGTGGCCTCCGCATTGTGGTGATTGCGTGATGTACCGAGGAAATAGAAATTCACATTGTGATGGAGAAGTTTGTGCTAAAGTTGCATCTTTGTGACGACAAAGTGGATCAAAGCATGTGTCAATGGTCGCGGGCGTGATAATCACATGCAAGATCAACACGGAGTCGAATTATGCAAAAGTTTGAAATCATGCGAAAGACTCTACTGTTACTCGATGCACTGTTATCAAAACTACTTTGCATTGCTTAAGATAATGTTTAGTCACGTCAACAACTTCTTAATTCATTTGACACAAGCTGTATGATGCGCAATATGCTATCGCAACAATTATTTTTATGAGAGGGCTCCCTCACTAAGTTGAGGGAAGGCAGTTTGCGCACGTAGTTGCGATCCACCTTAAGATGTGTTCATAGTAGGTCGCGTGGTCGACTTCTATACGCAACAAAATCAAAATAAATTACTAGTGCTTTTACGGAGACAATCACTGTCCTCACTCAAGTCTTGTCCCACTCAGTCGGGTATAGCTAATTGCAACTTTGGGTGAAGAAGTTAAATGCAACACGTGCCTTATTTCTTTGGTAATTCCGCAGGTCACTGGCGTATGCGCACTGACAACAGTGCGTAGCAAGCTTTTACTAACTGCAGTAAGAACTATAACTCTTGGTAATTAGCTTACACCCGTGGGTATTGAGAGAAAAAATTAGCGCTAGACAACTTAGTAGTATAATGAGAAATAACAAAAGTATATATATATACATATAATTTCTAAATGTATCGTGCTTGATTAGTCCTAACTTTACTAAATTACGATTATAGTACGTACAGTGACGTCTACTCTCCACCCATTGCGCTCGTCAACCACCGATTGCCAGAATTAGTATTACGGTATATAACCAATGATTTAATTTTCTGAATATTGTTTAAGGGAAAAAATGATTATATGCAGAATGAAGCCTACAAATTTTTTATTTTCGATTAAATCTTTGGTATATAAAAATAGGAAAAATATAAAACTGCCTCCAGATAATCACGAGAACAAAGATAAATGAATAACGTCCTAGAATTCTCAAATGGATCAGGACGTAAAATGATCTTAGAACGTTGGTGTTTTAACAACTGACACACAAAACTTTGACAAATTCGCTTGAGGCACCATCGCACATTCTTTTCTCAAATATGTTTGCAGACACAGCAGTCTGCAGACATTGAAGTCCTCAATAGGAGCCAAACAAAAAAATAGATTCATTAAGGTTTATTGATATGATCAAGCGTTTTATAATATTAAACTTAATAAGCAGGAAGGGAAACTTGATTCCACAAGTAAAACAACATTAACAGCAATTGTACCACCAACAATGACAACAGTATCAGTGACAGCAGTGGCAGCGAAAGCAGTAGCAGCATCAGCAGAGCAACAATACCAGCAGCTGTAGCACTCATAACAACAGCAGTAGAAAAACAGCAATAACAGCATCAACATAAGATACAAAAAAAACACCAGTAACCGCAGCTCCTATAACAACAGCAGTAGGACGAACAGCAGTAGCAGCATCAACAATAGCAACTGAAACAACAAAAACATAAATTTTAACATCAATACCAACAAACATTATCACCGACTGACTGTGTTTGCGGCCGCGACCGATGATACGAAGACGCAATTGCATACTTATATCTCGCGTCTGAGCCTGCAACTCGTGGCTGCAAGCGCAGTACGCCCGCCGCATAACCCTCTCCGCGGCCTCCCGAACAGGGCGGGGGTCGGTCACAGCTGTAAAATGGAAAAACGAAAATGAAAAAGGACGCGTGGTTAAATGTGTGCCACATTGACTTAGTTTTCTAGGACGTAGGGCACTTTTTTATTTCCGTAATTATCTGAAGCAGTTTTTTATTCACCTAAAAATCTGATGATCAGTATATATTTTTTAATCGATGAGTCGACTTTTGGGTCACCGCAACCATATCACTGAACTTAGTGATTTCGTTTTTAGAATAAAAGACTAAGCAATCTCTATGATCATAATGTCACAAATGATAGTATTATGTTTCAGGCTCACCTCGTTGCAGTTAGGCACTAAACTCGTAGCGTCAACGTATCACGTCTTAGCATCGACAAGATCGTCATGTCAACAGTCGAGAGTAATAACCAAGGTAACATCTAAAGTCTGACAACGTCCGATTAAATTGAAATCGACATGAATACATGTATTTTATGCTGGGCGCGCTGTGGGCGGATGGAATACATGCAGCGCGCTTAGCGCTCAAGTGTCAACGCTAATTAGGTTTAGACGGTCGAAAAACATTCTACACCCCTTTGGCTTGCAGTCTTACGATACTCGAGTGTTCAAAACCGAATTAGGAATGAGATTTATCGGTCACCTTCATCGTAGCAGCAGCTGCGGCCGCGGGATCATCCATCCCTAAGAATGTCCTGAAAGTGTCAGACGTTAGACGTTCAATAGGGTCAACAAACTCCTTGATCTTAGTCTTGACAGCAGTGACCTCTTCGTTCTCTGCCGAATTCTTGAAAGCGCCCACCACTCTGTCGTTGATGTTTCTGACAAATCTCACGCGCCACGTAACAAACTGATCCCATGCCGAATTGGTGGTACCACCGCCCGCTACTCTGGATTTCTTGCCATACGTGTTTACGAGTTCATTAAGATCCATGCGGGCTTGTTTGGTACCGGCTCGAAGCTCTTGACGCTCCTTACTATTCCAATCAAGGAAACCGACCCCCGCTCCATTGGCTTCATTGAAGATTTTAGCACCAGTTTTACGGATGACGAATAATCGATCAAGGGTGGTAAGCTTACCTGCACCACCAGCTGCGGCTCTAGCAGCGCCTCCCACTAGTGGCTTTAGCTTTTCTCCAGTAGAGAGACCGCCTGCGTTCGCCGCTCCATTGAAATCAAAATTGTGGCCAGCTCCACCATTCCTGGCGGCAATGGTGTCGGCATTCGCGGCCTTGGACTTCTTGACATTGTCCACGTCTGCAGTGTTGCGCTCACCGACCGGTTTGTCTTTGGCCTTGAGCGACTTGATCCATTTTACGAACTCTTGGGAAGGTTTAGTGAGCCACTCCTTCAACTTCGCCCAGAGACTTTTCATCCGAGCAAATAAGTTCATCTTCGGCTGATTTTCTTCGACGTGTTGACCACTGGTGACAGCCCTTCCTTGACTCTCTCCGGCCCGCTGAACATCGACGACAGCCGTTTCCACCAGTCGGCCGCTCGCCCCTTCAATTGCCAATCCTGTATGAAGCCGACCACCAAGGGCCTTTCCAAGTATTGGCGCCGTTTCTTCAGCGAGTTCTGCCGAAACAGCTCTCTCCTCATTGTCCACAGGCAGCATCAACTCATCGTCGTCGAAAGACTCCCGCAGGAGCCTCTGCCTGTCCGCGTCGTAGGCGTTGCCGCCCGTCACGCGAGCCACAAGAGCGTCATTGTATTCGAGAAGAACGTTCTCGTTGACATCAGTCATAGTCGCGTCGCTGGAAACGAAAACAGCGACGAGAGCGGTAGCAGCGGTGTAGACCAGACGCATTTTTGAGTTGTTCCAGTCGAAAAAGCCGAGCGACAGTGATGCGTGGCGGTCCTGGTGCTGGTAGCGGTCGTGGATCCAGCGGTAGTGATATGGGTGGTCGTGACACTGTAGTAGTGGAGGTGCTGGCGTTGGTGGCGGTGGTGGTTCCGGTCGTGGCGGTGTTATTGGTGGTGGCAGTCGAGTTGCAAAGTGGGATTGGTGGAGCAGCGTGGGCGCGGAGCTCTTCGACCTTTGCTCAGCTATCGGATTCACCAGGTTTGATCCGAAGAGGCTCTTTACCGGCTATGACGACGACGCCAGCCCTTGTTCAGTCTCTTTCACGTTGCCCATTGCAGTGAGGACCACGACCAGCGCTTTGTGGGGAGAGGCGAGACGGCAGACAGTGAAACCGACAATGGCAGCAAGTGAGCTGAATATACATTTTTGGTCCTTTCTGCCCAATGTTAACATACTAAATAGCAGCCAGCTCCCACCGTGCCCTTATTGAACCGTCTCGTGTGGCAGCTATAATGAAGTCTGGCACAAGGCTGTAGAACGATCGATAGAAGCAGCTGCCTAGACGCCTTCGGGAACACGCGCGGTTGGACGCGGTGGGCCCATTTCAAACGGGCCTGCGTTCATCATCGGCTGTTGCTGCGGTTGCTGCTGTAGCGGTGCCTTTGGCTGTGGCTGGTGGCGCTTTTGTGGCGGCAGTTGCTGCTGGAACGCAACTGGGTCTTATAGAGCTGCGGGCACGACAAATAAGGTGTCAAGCAGATCCATTTCAACCTTCGCGCGATGTGTTGCGGTCACGGAGCTTGATCCGTCGAGGCTTGGGACGGAAAAGTGTGCTGCTGCTGGTCGCTCTGCCTCGATGCACGACACGTAGAAGTACGTCTTCTTCGACGGGTAGCAGTAATCGTGGAGCGTGCGTTCGGCTCGACGCGTCGAGCCCCAGGCATTAAGGCCAGTGCACCGATAATGCCGCCAATGTTGCGAAGCTAACATCTGCCGCTCATCGACGTTGCCATTCGCTTTGTCATCAATCGGGGCTCGTTGTTATCGTAGTTGCTAGGGCTAGGGTACTCTTGCACCGGTGGTTGTTCGGAAGAGTGGAACGGGACGGTATCTGGCCGTCATTGACAGGCTGCGTGCCGTAGCTACCTTACCCCCCGAAGATACCCTGGTCACCTTGTTTGTACGGAATGGGCAGGCCAAAAAGGCCCACAGGTATGCCAGCTCCTGGTGGAGCAGGTGCGAGGTTGTCGTGCGCGAGCTGACCCAAAGTGAAACGGGGTAGCCCGTTACATGATATTGTCACTAAATACACAAACAATAATATAGAATATTACGTTGAATATCATTTCAACAATATCACAGAGCATAATCATATTGTTGAGATGACCGAAGGGTCTATACATTGGTTGATATCGTGATCATATCAACCCGCCAATTGCTGCTAGACGCGCGCAATGGGTGGTGAGTAGACGTCATCATACTTTTAGTTAGATTAATAAAATCAAGTCAGGACAAACAGAGACATAAGATTGATAGGACCAAATTCTATTAAATTACAGTTTTACTTTTACCAGAGACTAGAGTGTTTACTTAGTCTCCTTTCCTTCCTCTGTGTTGGTGCAACACCTAGCAGGGCACTGTCGACCACTGTTGTCAGTGAAAGTGAGCTCCGTACTGGTCAACCAGTACGTTGTCACCAGTGCCTCGTTACACCTGGTAGCACTTTTTAGTCCGTCCAAGGACTACAACCCCATCGCCCAACATGAACATGTTGGATGATGTAGACGGCGACAGCTTTTACGGAACCCGTGAAAGCTACTCCCATTTGAGCGATATCGAATGGAGTGCGATCGAACGAATGAGTTCGACCCGTTGGCGAGGAAGCTATCGGGGCCATGCTATCCACAAGGGATAGAGACCAGCAGCATACCGTCATTAGCAAGTTCTTTCAACAAGAACTTGATGAGTCGCGAGCGCAGGTGACCTTGTTACAACAACAAGATCACCAGCGGACCGAAGTACTGAGACAACAACAGTCTAAGTTCGCAGATCCGACGCGTGAGCGTCGACGGGAGTCTCTAAAGTTAGAGATATCCAAGTATCGGGGAGTCGAGGAAGACTCCCTGTTAAGATGGTTCGTCGAGGTCGGCGTTGCCATCGAGGCCCGTCGCATCGACAACGAGCAAACACAAGTCGCAATTGCTCAGTCTTACTTGGCAGGAAACGCCAGGAATTGGGCCCTGAATATCAAGTTACACGATTAGAACGTTTTCGAGTTGTTAAACGTCTTCAAGACCCTGCTCAGTAAGACGTTTGAGCCTTTCAGGGCAGAGTTTAGGACTCTGTGTGAACTACTAAAGATCTTACAGGGTAAGTGTAATGTTCACGCTTACGCTCAGCATGTACGCTATCTTGCAAGTTTCATGGTAGTGAAGCCTGTGAGTGAATTTGTGAAGATCACAATATTTATTCGAGGTCTTGGAGATGGTCCTATCAGGGACCACCTGTTTCGCGGGGCGCTAAAGACGCTTTCCGAAGCGATCTACGCTGAGGAGCAGGAAGACTTTAGTGTGATATAGGCTCACACTACTCTTACCCCCTATCATCCACAAAGCTGATCAGCGGTCGGAGGCCCAGAGCCAATGGACCTCTGTGATGTTGAGGTCGAGAAACCTCGCCCTGTGAATGACAAGTGAATGGTGAGGATCCATCGCTATCATAAGATGGGACATTGTGCATACGAATGCAGTATCCCCCGCTCAGGACCCCGTGGTGCTGAGCGCAGTAACCATCGACTAGTTAGAAGAACTGGAGGACGAGGGCTTGATGCTGTTGCAAAGCCGCAACATCGAAGCGGACCATAAAAAAATGGTCGGGGTCAGTAGTGGCGGAGCACCCTACTGATCCAGCAACATCGAGTGAATTTGCAAATCTATTGACGAAAGTTGCTCCCGACACACCGTCACTGTGTTTCTCTGCACCTGCTGATGAGATATCACTCATCAAATTGACATTGGAAGTGACATAAGATATGTCACTTCGCGCCCTGGTTGACTGTGGGGCGTCGAACAACTTTGTTTGTCGCCAGTCACTAGAGGCCGGAAGTATTAACTTCGTGGAGCGGGAGATCCCTAAACCGATAATGAAGGTGCGCCTTGTGACAGGAGCATCGATGAATGTGAAGAAACTTGTAGTCGGAATCCACTACACGTTTGAGGAAAAACATTACGATAATGACTTCATCGTACTGGATCTGGATGACAAATTTGATGTCATCCTAGGACTACCTTGGCTCGGAATATACGAGTTGAGGGTGAGCTGGTAGAATTGATCCGTGAAGATTCCTTCCGTTTGTTTGTCAGATAGCCATCTGATGAAAATCATGGAGCGTCCACAAGCGTGTGGATGTACTTCGAGTGATTGTGATGGCCTCACTTGCGGTACGGTCGCTAGCACGAATGTACAAGACCTCAATGTAGCTGATCGCTACGCTGTGGAGCAAGCTCCCGGCGGCTGTACAGATGTACAGGACATTGACGTATGCCTAGCGGGCAGCATCTTAGACAAGAGAAACCTTTTGTCCAAAGGGCAACATGGAAATCCTACGTCGACTGGAGAGTTGACCGTAGAGAATCGAGACCTGACTGTGGTTGCACAGACACAGTCAGAAGACGCCGAGGAAATAAATCCCCACGTGCTTGAGGAAGGAATTCCTCAAGAGTTGAATACTGATGGATCAGGCTCTCAGCAACCTGTGGAAAGAAGTTCCCAGGAAGAAACCGAGACGTTGAACGTCTTGTACAATGACGGATCAAGCGTAGGCGATTATACGCTTGATCTGATTGTGCCTCCGAATTTACCCTCGGAGATAACTCAGTTGCCAACGCTAGAAACGAAACGGTTCTTGCGCGATCTGTGTAGTGGCAAAGTCAAGCAGATCTGTTCACTCTTCGCGAAAGACGAGTACGTTACCGATATTCGATCGTCAACGGTGTTTACTGAGACCGAGAGGGTCCTCATCAGTTCATCGATGGACGAAAGTGTCCTTGATGAGAAGACTCTGATTGAGTGATACACGTCTCAATCCTGGAAGTCGCTCCAGTCAAATCCTTCGTATAAGTATATGATCGAATTTAAGGACGTGTTTCCTGAATCCGTGCCATGCGAGTTGCCTAAGGACAAAGGCACTCGACACGAGATCGAGCTCAAACCGGGCTCGAAATACTGTGTCATGAAGCAGTGGCTACTGCCTCGTGAACAAGTACTAGCGATCGACAAGTTCTTTGCCGATCGCTTAGCAGCGGGCCATGTGAGGGAATCAACATCCCCTCACAGCTCTCCGACCTTCTGTGTGCGAAAAGCCACAGTAATATGGCGGATAGTGCACGCATTCAACAAATTGAATGCTGCAACGGTACCGGCTCAGACGCCGATACCGAGGAAGGACGTAATCATAGATGGTATGTCAAAGAGTACCATCTTTTCGTCCATGGATCTGATGGATGGGTTCTATCAGATCCTCAGGCGTGAACGGGACATTCCGTTCACGGCAGTGAGCACCCCTAGAGGTATGTTGTGGGAGTGGCTAGTTATGACACAGGGGATGAGCAATGCCCCTGCAACATTCAACAGATGTTTCACAAATCTGTTGAGACCGGTGCGATATTTCGCACCGAGTTACTTCGATGATGTGTTCGTCCATAGCCGGGCTATGGACGGAAAGATGGACGTGGAAGTTCACAGAACTCACGTTCGTCGGGTTCTTTAACTTATGCGCAGGCATAAGTTGTACGCCAACCTCAAGAAGTGTATATTCACGGCTAGTGAAATACCACTTCTTGGGTATATCGTGGGTAAACACGGCGTACGCCCTGATCCAGAAAAGATCAAGGCAATCACCGACTGGCCAGTGCCAGTCGATGTCAAGGGACTAAGGAAGT